GCTTTTCCCAGCACCTCCAGCAAAGCTGACAAATCAAAATCTTCTCTATGTCTAGAAAAATGTCAAATACTCAGTGTTTTTTTCATTAACTTAGAAGAATAAAACAACATAACTGTTTATCTTATAATACCAGTAATAGGAAGACAGACATATAAGCTAAGGGTATGGCCAAAACTGCTATTTTAGAGAATTTAGGAAAAGTCTTTCTGAAGAGGTGGCATTTGAGCAGAAGCCTGAAGAAGGGATCGCACAGAGCTATTAGGCATGGAAGACTTTGGATTTTGTTTTAAGTGGGCCAGGGAATTATTGGTAGGGGAGTAGAGAAATGACAAGTTCTGACTTAGGTCAGATTACTGTGGCTGTCATATAGAGAACTGAATGCAGAGAAGCAGAGCAAAAAATGAGATGCTAAAGGGATCGCACAGAGCTATTAGGCATGGAAGACTTTGGATTTTGTTTTAAGTGGGCCAGGGAATTATTGGTAGGGGAGTAGAGAAATGACAAGTTCTGACTTAGGTCAGATTACTGTGGCTGTCATATAGAGAACTGAATGCGGAGAAGCAGAGCAAAAAATGAGACGCTACTTCATGGTGTGGTTGGAATACTGACCCCCCAAAAAACCGCCTGTGTCCTAATCTCCAGAACTTGTATGTTACCTTACATGACAAAAGGGACTTTGTAATGTGATTAGGGTACAGATCTAGATGTGAGAGATTACCCTGCACTCTCAGGGTGGCCCTGGGGTGTAGCCATGTGAGCCTCTACAAAGGTGGTTCTCAACCTTCCTAATGCCGCGACCCTTTAATACAGTTCCTCATGTTGTGCTGACCCCCAACTTCATGGTTACAAATTGAACATAATTAAAGCATAGTGATTAATCACAAAAACAATATGTAATTATATATGTGTTTTCCGATGGTCTTAGGCGACCCCTGTGAAAGGGTCGTTCGACCCCCAAAGGGGTTGCGACCCACAGGTTGTGAACCGCTGCTCTACAGGAAGGGAGCTTTCCTGGCCAGGTCAGAAAGATGATGCAAGGACTCCACCCTCTGTTGCACAGCCAGCAAGAAAACGGGATCTCAGTCTGACAACCACAAGACACATGCAGTTCCTTGAAACAACCCAAGTAATCAAGGAGATGGGTTCTCTCTTGGAACCTCCAGAAAGTAACCTAGCTGACATGCTGATTTTAGTCTGGTGACAGCCACACCAGACTTTTGACCTAAGAAAATAAATCTGCCTTGTTTTTGGTCACTAAAATTGTAGGAATTTACAGTGACAGCAACAGGGCACTAACACAAGTGGTCAGGGCAACAAGAAAAGACAAGTAGCTCCCACTAGGGTGGTAGCTATGAAAAGGTTATGGTCAACAGAGATGCCCAAAGGAAGGTCTGGAGCAGGATATTAAAGAATTTTGTTAATGTTACCAAATTCAGAGATCATTCTGTAAAGCCATCACTGCAGCAAGGGAAGCTAGCCAGCCGAGAACATTCAAACCACCAGGGGTCCTCTGCCCTCAGTGCATACACCAAGAAGAAGGCATCACACGACCACAACTCCTCTAACCTGAGGGGCAATGGAAACATGGGAAATGCAAGTCTACCAAGACACTTTATGGAAAAATAACATGTACGATGACGACAACTAAAATCCATCTCTTGACAACATAAAACCTGGTACTTCCCCTTATTTGCTCTGGCTGTCTGAAAGGTCATCAAATCCATATTCATTATTCAGCCTTTTCCTCTTTTCTGTGCCTTGTTCATTTTATAGTAGTTTAAACTTTGGAGCCCCCTCTAATCCTTTTCTCAAGTAGGTGGATACAAAACACAAATTAAGGCAGCAGAATAGCAATATATGGTTTTCTAGCACACACAGATTATTTTGTTTTCAGCTGCAAATGAAAAAAATTAGGGTAAAAAACTAAAACGAATATTATTTATAATACACAGATGCACACGTACAAACAAATCCACTAAGTTTCTTTCAAGTATTTGTTCTATTACCATCAAGCTGGGTAGGGATTAATTTTAATAACATTTTTAAAGAGACACTATTGTTAAATAGTGATTTAAAAAACAATAAAAATCCATTAGCTTTTCACAAGTGTACTGCATCAGAACCTGCCAACTAATGACAATAACAATATTTGATAAGTTCAAAAGAATCAAAATGAGTAACTCTAACGCTGGCAAGACTCTCAGTAAACTGACAATCTCACAGAACTAGTGTGAAACAATCTTCAATGGAGAAAATTCACAAGGCAGCTCATGCCACCATGTTTTCCTGTCTGATGATTCTACTGTGGCTTTTTCCCATGGCCTAGGCTAGGCCAAGGGTTGGCAAACTATGGCCTGGGCCCAGATATTATCTGCTTGTGGATGTGAAGTTTTATTGGCTTACATATTGTCTATGGCTGCTTTTGCACTACCAAGACAGAGTTGAATAGTTGTTACAGAAACTATTTGACCTGCAAAGCTAAAATTATTTACTCTAACTGCCCTTTAAAAAAGCATTTACCAAACCACGGCCTCCTAGAGATCCTCATTAATAAAGATAAATAATTCTTCTTGTTAAAAAGAAAAATTATCACCCTAGCTGGTTTGGCTCAGTGGATAGAGTGTTGGCCTAAGGACTGAAAGATCCCAGATTCAATTCCGGCCAAGGGCACATGTCCGGGTTGCGGGCCCGATCCCCATTGTGGGGCATGCAAGAGGCAGCCGATCAATGATTCTCTCTCATCATTGATGTTTCTATCTCTCTCTACCTCTTCGTTCCTCTCTGAAATCAATAAAAATATATTTTAAAAAATAAAAAAAGAAATTATCTACCAATATAGGTGGATGCTTACCTGGTGGACTGAAAATAATTCCCAGAAAGCAAAATGTAGAATTAAAGTAGCCACATTTTTATGTACTATTCAGAAAAGTGAACAAAAATAATTATTATGTTAGCTATTTATGTCTATGAAGCATTAATAATATTATGTTAAGATGTATAATAGCTTATGTGTATATGTATTATGTGTATATGTATATACATTATATATAACAAGGAAGACAAAAAAATAGTATGGTTTTTAAAATTATGCTTTGCAAAAATCAAACTAAAATCAAACTAGAGCTAATTCTAAAAATTCAAGTTGTTCAAAGGATATGTAATCCTGAGTATGTAGTCATATTGCAGGTTCTCCCTCCCAAACTGCATTAGATATAGGAAGATAAAGCAAGGAAAAAATAAAACACTAACAATTGGAAAAGACTCATTTCTGTGCTTTTCCCTTTCTCCACACAAAAAATACAGGGGTCCCTGACTCAATGTCTACCCCATGTTGTGCCCAGATGTTTTATGTCACCAACCTCATGAAGGGGTTCCTTCCAAACCTCCCAAAGTTCTCTATCCATACAAAGGACCCAAGGATTTCCCAGAGAATTTACTGGAATACCCTAAAACCTATCTTAATTTAGTATTAATCTCTCCCATGTCATATTTTCCATTTCAAAGATTAACCACCTCATGCTCTATAAACCAACCAGGTTCCAAAGCAAACACTGTCACACCCCAGGTGTTGAGGCAATAAATGAAGAGAATTAACTTCAATGAACAGACTAGCGAAAGGAATGGCTGGCAGTAGGGCACAGAACAACTCCTTTGTGGTGAACCACGGGAGCCACTCTCACAGTCAAATTTCCTGATCATCGGAGAAACGCACAGATCACATCTTTCAACCTTCCAAATTCTAGCTGTGCCCTCTAGGAGCTTGCCACCTCTCACAGTGCCCCTAGCTCTATTGCTTAGAAGGACATGTTGCCAGCAGTAACTTGGCAATTATCTTTATTCATAAAGCATGAGAAGGATGGGTAAACAAAATGGTGAAAATGGAACAAACTATTATGGAATAGAAAGGAAACAAAAACACCTGCCCAAAGAGAAGCTAAAATATTGAAACATCGATTTTCTCCTAAAGATCATGTTCCTCAGGCCTGGGGACCTAACTGAGATGGGCTTTAGTCCCTGTGAATTCTATTTCTCTGGTTCAACCTTTAAGTATCACATCTGTGGGAGTTAAATCATTCTCGTCATCTTTCCTCATTTTTCACAAACTCCAAAGAAACTGTTCTATAGTTGGTCTCATTCTGAAATTGTTATTTCAAAGTAAGTTTCGTACCTTAATTGAAGCAATATGGAGCAAAGTCTCGCCCTTATGATTTCTTTTCACAGCTGTAAGGTTACCGGGTGTCAGTTTCATTGCTGAGGGGCTGGACAGCATCCGGCCGTAATTTGTACTATTCAGTGTAGAGGGTGGTGTGCTATTCAGTGTAGAGGGTGAGGAGCTCATGGATTCATCTAATATAGTTCTGGTTTTCCTCCTCACTCTGTCTCCAACTTTAAGTTTGGTTGAAGGCTGCAAAGAAGAGCCAGGCAATGGGATGTTTTCTGAGAGCCCTGCTTGCTTAACAACATTTTCACTGGTGCTGGGAATGCTGTTTCTACATCTCTTAGAAATGGGACTGGAAAGTCTCCTGTGACGCCCACGTTTTCCATTCTTAGACGAAAGATCATTTTCACTTTCAGCAGACTCTATTTGCTCAGCCAATGGTAAAGAGACTTCGGTTAAGTTTCCAAAACATTCATCTTCTGCCACAGAGCCGCTTGCTAATAAGTCTATTTCACCATTTCTCGGAGGACTGGCATTAACAGATGGTTGGACAGAGACAGATACCAGCTTTTCCTTCAATTTCTCTTTGGAGTCAAGTTGACCATCTTTTTTGCCTGCCTCTAAATTCCACATTTGGTTGATTTTAGTTAAAGTTTTCTTCTTCAGTTTTTTTCCAGATCTTGTAGAAGCCTTTTTAGCCCTCGCAGAAGAGTCTACTGGAGGACTCGCAGAAGCATATTCATACATCGAGGCCTGCTGCGCATTTTCATCATTTATCACTTGAGGCTGAGTTTGTACTGAAACTTTACTTACAACGTATCTGACCTTCTTACTTCGAGGACTAAACCACATTTTTATTGAATTCTTCTTACTTTCTGCATGATTAAATAAATTTTTCCTGGATGTTTCTTCTTTTAAATCTGATAGAAAAAAGGAAGAGAAATCTGTCAGATGAACTTAATCTCTCCCAGCTTGAGCTCCCACAGAATTTTGTTTATGGTTTTCCTAAAGTGTATCACCTTTAATTTATGTACCTCTTTCTTCTGTCTTCGACTATGAACTCCATAAGCAGAGATATTTGGACATTCAAACAAATGTTTACAGAATCCTACGTTAGTCCTGACAGTGTTCTAGGGACTGGAGAAGAAAACAGGGAATTTATATTCCACAGGGGATGACCAGAAAATATGAATAAATAAGTAGTGCATACAGTATGCTGGTGGTTATAACAGCCATGGAGAAAAGATATATTAAATAAATAAATAATCTAAGGAAAAATTTTCATGAACCAAGGTCTAAAATTAAATTACTTTAAGAGGAAAGCCAATGATATCCTACTACTAAGGACTGGTAACATCCACTGTATAGGAAATAAACATGTCATTTTACTAAGGTGTTACATAAAATTGTCAAGTCTGCTTATTCTTGATTTCTTTACAACATTCTTAATTCTTAAAATATTAGCGAGAAAAAGGAAATTATAAAATATTTTTAATTCCTTTTAGACATTTTTTCTTCACACAGAACAATTACTATTTTATCAGTTCAAAATTAATAATACATTATAAAATTAGTAAATTAAAATCTAAAGTTCAAAATTAATTCTTTTACCTCATGTTTCTTGAGTATAAAACTACTATCTTTACAAATAGATCTGCCAAAAACAGGTTTATAAAAAAGAAAGAAAAAAGGTGGATTATGAAAAACAAGTACTTAGTGCATATCTCAGTAGAAATTACAAAGATATGATCCCTGTCTAGCAAAGGAATTCTATCAAACTCTACTCCACTCCAAAGAAGCCATGCCTTCCTCCTGGTGGAAAAATGGCGGAACTGGAAAGACTAATTGATAAACCCAGCTGAAGCAAGAGCGTGTATGTGATAAGGGCAGACCCTCCTACATCCTTCTAATGTCCTAGCTGAATGGCACCTGGTCCACCAAGTGTTATTAGGACAGGATCTTGGAAATCAAAATAGAAGAATGAAGCATCCATTCATGCTAAGTCCAGCAGGTCATAATAAATGTGAGAAGTCCTCAAAAGACTGAACCAACTCTTTGAGCAGGGCTAAAATCTGCATGTTATTACCTGCTGCTGGAACAGCCAAAGGCAATTCCCCCAACCTGACAATCCTTTACTGTTTACCAAACCTTACCTTTGATATGTATATCTGCTTTGCTATAGGGCAAAATGTGGGAATAAGAAGCCCTGGGTCCGGAAGCTTAGTCACTAGAGCTAAGCCTCCCCTGGCTCCCCCATACCTCCCAAATTTATATTTCATGTCTAGTTTATTTAATTTACATTGCAGCCCCTTCTCCAGATTCCTGAACCTTTGCAGATGCGGATAAAACCCCAGCACATTCACACAGAGACTTAATTTCTGAATTCAACAAGGTCTTTCCTCTGCAGTGATAAGTAGATTTCAAACTAAGTCACTTCTGATACAATCTCAAGTCTAGAGGAAAGGTCAAAAGGAAATGTTACCAGGATTACTTGTTAAGAAAGACTCAGGATTACAAAGACTAAATAAAGGTTAATCCACTGGTAGTCTGTAATAACTTGTATTTAATTTTTTTAAATTTATTTTAAACTTACATAATGACATTTTCAATTAAAAAGTCAAATCCTAAAGCCTCAATGCTTATAAAACTTAGTGTAGAATTAGACATTTAATAAAAAAATTAAGGCTTGTAAGTAGTAGCAACATACCCGATTGACTAAAAAATCTAAATCTGAAAAGACAACAAATTTTACTCAGGTATACATAAAAAAATTAAGGCTTGTAAGTAGTAGCAACATACTCAATTGACTAAAAAATCTAAATCTGAAAAAACAATAAATTTCACTCAGGTATACATATTTCTTATCTTATCCTATATAATAAAAGGCTAATATGCAAATCGTCCCCTTGGGAGTTCGACCAGGAGACCAGGAGTTTGATTGCTCGCTATGATGTGCACTGGCCACCAGGGGTGGCATGGAACTAATGTGGGCAACCGACCAGCGGTGGTGGCAGTGCATGGGTGGTGAGGGAAGAAGGCAGGGAGGCGGGGAACCTGATTGGCCTGGATCGCTGGCCAGGCCTAGGGACCCTACCCATGCACGAATTTCGTGCACCAGGCTTCTAATAAAGCAATAAGTGAAAACACCATATATTCATGTAATTTATAGGCACACGAATTCAGTAGTCATCCAGTAGTACTACATTTACTCAGAATTATTTTAATTGTATATCTTGTCCTACCTAAGCAAGGACCACAACAAGTATGTTGTAAATTCTGGGCTTTACACAGCATATCACAGTTAAAACGATAAAAGGCAAAACCCCCACCACTACTAGAACATCAACCACACTATTGACAGCTACAACAGTTCATGTGGGTTAATGCTTCTAAGCATGAAAAAGCATTATATTCATGTCACGAAGAAAAGCACATAGTCCTTCCTCTTCATAGTAAACCTCATAATGATGACATTTACAATTCTATTCTCTGAATTGAAACATTTCTGAGTACTCCTAACTTTCCAGGAACAGAGATGCATTTGTGGCCAAGGAGCTGCTCAGCCAAGTTTATTCTTAGAATTTAATAATAAACTATAGAAAAGGTAAGAAATTAGCAAATGTGATTCAGCTATCATTAATCTACATCAAAGGATTATAATAATGAATACTGTGTGCCTTTCAAATGATCCTATTATAGGTTTCACAACAGATGCTGAGAAATCTCGTTGACAAACTAGCCCCTTATTAAAAATCAAAGGAAAGTACTTTGCTACCATCTGTGTAACATTAACGCCTTCACTGAAGAATGATTATTTTGTAAGTTAAGAAGTATTCAGTTCTACCTACAAAATAAAAACACAGCTATTCAAATGCTCATCTTCATCTATTATAAAAAAGTCACAGCTTATATGAAACACTATGTAATTCGCCACAGAGAGACCAGCCTCTCTCCTGAAACCAGAAAGTAAAGTTGTGATCCTATGAAAGCATAATCACAATTTTTTTTAATGTCTCCAACACCAACATATATTTCACAGAGCCTGACCAGCACCTGCAAGGTCTGATTTAATATGATGGGGCCAAGAAAAAATAAAAACTTTTAAATTTAACTCCATTAGTAGAAAGCAGATTATGTTATAAAGAATAAGATAAAATTATCCATAAATGCTTGTCAGAAAAATTTATGACAGTCTTTTTGCTTTGAAATACACTGAACCGAGAAAAATTTATTCAACTATTTAGAAGCTGATTTTAGAGAGTATTACTGTAAATCAGGCTGCTTTATCTCCAGTGTATACCGTATACTATGTCCCTGACTTGACAGGTTCTTCCTAATTATCCACCTTAATTACAGTGATTATATATTTTATAGTAAGTGCAAATAACAAGGTTCATTTGGAAGATAAATTGTGAACTACAGGTTAAAAAAAATAGAGAAAATGTGGAAGGTGTCCAACCATTCCACCTAATTCACCCTCAACACTAGACCAGTTATCCATATGATTTTGGAGCTAGACCTTAGGAATCATTTAATCTAATACCCTTCTTTTATGAGGAGATCATTTCCAATATCCTCATTAATTGATCCAACTATTATTTCTTTCTACCTACTCACCTCACTCACCTTACACCACTACTAACATAAAGGTACTACATAAAATATATTGAACAGATAAACTATAAATAAACACTCACAACTGCCCTGTCAAGGCTAGTTTGTTTTAAGGGACATGGAGAGGAAAGGTTGGTGACAATTTAACTTACAGTAAGTAGAAAAAGCTTCCTCATGGAAATAAGAATTGGATTAGAAATTTATATTTCAGATAGCATTTATATTTCAGATAGAATTTATATTTATCATCTTCTATAAAACTAGCAAAGAAGAATGTTAGCACTACAAATTAAATTGTTGAAGGCACAACCTAAGAATTTGTTTTAAACTTGTTTTGTCTTGATTAAGTTTAGTCTCTTGGGATATGAGTAAAGTCTTAACACTGCCAATTTTTCTCCAACCCAATCAACAAACATAATGGACACCTATACTTCTAACAAAAGCAATGTGCTAAAGAACAAAACAAATAGCAAGAAACTTACAATCTGACTGCCTGGCTTAACCTAGGTCCTCAATTTCCCAATCTGCAGAATAAAGGGATTAAAGATAACCTTCTAGCTCCTAAAATTCTGCTTATATATTACGCAAACTGTGAAATTCCAATTCATCGTAAAGTAAGTAATGTTAAAGCCAGCACTACTAAAGTCTGGTAAGAACTGAAGTAATTATTCATTATATTAAAAGGAAAACAAACACAAAATGGCCTTCAGAAAACTAATCACCCTAATTTTTTCCCCAAGTTCCACCTGTACTCTCAGATGAGAAAGACGGCATTCTGAATGGCCTCAGATCCCACACAAAAACTTGTTCTAAACTCAATAATTTTCCTAAATATCTTTTCAAATGATGAAAAATTAAGCCATTTCACAATCATGGTCCACAAAAGATGAAAACCATACTGATGATTCAAACATCACTAACCAAGGTAAAATTTCTGAAGAAGTCCTCTATCTTACTTTTCTTTGCACCCATGGTACCCCAGGGTTACTCTGTCACCATTAAAAATGTCACACTGCTGTTATGGGTTAAATTGTGTCCCTCCTAAAATTCATATAAAGAAATCCAACCCACAGCAACTCCGGATGTGATCTTATTTGGAAGCAGGGTCATTACAGATGTAATTAGCGGTAATGCGCAGGGTGGGACTCGAATGCAGTATGACTGGTGTCCTTTTTAAAAGGGAAAATCTGACCCAAACTTGCGAGAACAACATGTGAATATGAAGACCACCATCTGCAAACCAAGGAGAAAGGCCTGGAACACATCCTACCCTCACAGACCCTGAAGGAACCAATCTTACCTACATCTTGATTTTGGACTAGCCTGCAGACCTGGGAGATAAGGACGTCCTGTCGTTGCAACGCCCCCATGTGTGGTCTGCTCCTTCCTATGGCAGCCCCAGCAAGCTAGTATCACTACAGTAGCACTAATAATCACTGCACAGCAACCGGGGAAGAATCAAATCAAATCATCGTGACAGACACAAATCTCAGAGCAGCACCCCAAACTTCCATGCTTGGCCAATATTCCTAACAGACCACACATTTTTAAGAATCCCATGCAAAACACTTTCACAGAGACATGAACATTTTTCACATTGTATAATTAACTCAAGAGGCTCACTAACCCTTCCCCCTACCCCCATCACTGCCAAAGATGCGCAGACTCTTGATTAAGGACTCCTGCTTTAATCAATGTTGGGGAGGGGGATACCAGATCAAACACTAATCTCGCTAATCAGAAAATAAACACTATTAGCACTGTCTCTGAATAAAAAGGAAAAGACTACAGATGAACTTAATAATAAAACTTTTCCTCATTGTGCTCTTAAGGGATTTATAACACAGCATTTTTTCAAAAAGGTAAGTACTTTTAAAAATGTGTATGTGTATAATTATATCTGAAAGTCAGTAAAATTTTATACCTATAGCACATTTTATCATAAAAGACGAGAACGGATTTATAATAATCAGATAACTAGAAGAAAACTTTTTGTAGGTAACTATGATTTTTTTAAAATATATTTTTATTGATTTTTTTACAGAGAGGAGGGGAGAGGGATAGAGTTAGAAACATCAATGAGAGAGAAACGTCGATCAGCTGCCTCCTGCACACTCCCTACTGGGGATGTGCCCCACAACCAAGGTACATGCCCTTGACCAGAATCGAACCTGGGACCCTTGGGTCCACAGGCTGATGCTCTATCCACTGAGCCAAACCGATTAGGGTGGTAACTATGATTTTAATTCTTAAAAATATGGACCTAGTCAATAAGACTCAGTATTTGCCTCATTTATTTATTTTGCCAAATCACTTCACCATTAATAGTTGACAGTGACACATCACATCGGAAAATGAAGATAAAAAGATTTTAAAACAGAAATCCAGTCCTTTCATATGCACATTATCAATCATGGCATTCTGCCAGTCAAGAATAGGTTCTCCTATAAAGGAACACAAGCTAAAAGGAAGTGATCGGGTCAATAAAAGGACAATTCCCATATCTAACTATGAAGATTCAAAACACTACTCTCTTTCCACAGCTAATTAGGTCTCAGCAGAAAGCACAATGGGAAGATACATAGTTAATACACAGAGTCTAAGAACAATTTAAAAAACATTAACCCCCATTTACATAGAAAAAAAGTGAATATTAGATTTTTGCTCTTTAAAAATGTGCTCATTTAATTAATTCAGTCTAGAAAAATGATCCATGGAAGGAGGTTGTAGTCTATTTTGTAAAAAAGTATATTTAAGTGCATTTAAGGATATAATCACTATTCTACACATATGACACAGACATGATCATAACTGAAAAAGCAGGCAGTGGAAGTAGTAAAAGAAAGTCTGGACTGACAATCAGAAGAAATGGACTGTTCCTCTTGCTTATGGCACTAACTACGTGTGTGACTTAACACAAGACCATTTAACCTCTGAGGCCCTTGGTTTCACATCTATAAAAAAGGAGTGAGACTTAATTACCTCTAAGGTATCTGTCACTCAAAATAATTCCAAACACTATAAATCTTAAATCTGAAACACACCATTCAGAGTTCCTGATAGCCCTTTTACACACTTCATGTGATCAATAGTTCATCGGTTACCTAAATAAGGGAGTCAGTGCCAGCGCTCACCTGAAAGCTCGTTCTCATGCAGCAAATTCCGAAGCTTACTGCAAAGCTGGATCATGCTGTCCAACTGCCTGTTTATCTTCACGTCTTGTATCCAGGCTGGGGTATTACACACTGGACATTCGGCTCCAAGGCAGTCACTTACACAGTTACTGAACAAGAATTTTAAAAATATATGTAATTATCAACACACTCAGCAGAATCTGAATTCCAATAAATAATGGCTGTTTACATTTTTTAATTTGACAATCTAAGGCAGCAGTTCTCAACCTGTGGGTCGCGACCCCTTTGGCAGTCAAACGACCCTTTCACAGGGGTCGCCTAAGACCATCCTGCATATCAGATATTTACATTATGATTCATAACAGTAGCAACATTACAGTTATGAAGTAGCAACGAAAATAATTTTATGGTTGGGTCACAACATGAGGAACTGTATTTAAAGGGCCAGAAGGTTGAGAACCACTGATTTAAGGGAAAAGTGATCAGTGCCCCTAACTAAAAGTCAGGTATCGCATGTTTTAAAATTCCTGCAGTACACTGGTTGAAAATTGCTGGGATATATCAAAACCAACTTTTATTTATTTTTTATTTTTACTTTTTTTAAATTTATCTTTATTGTTGTAAGTATTACAGATGCCCCCTTTGTTTTGTTTTTTGTTTTCCCACTGACCCCTCCACTCGGCACCCATTTGAAAATTAATTACACGTAGTGGAGGTAAAACCAAGGAGAAAGGCCTTCACCACTCTATTGTCTATGTATCAAAACCATCTTTGTGGCATTGCTCAGCACTTATAAAACTCCAGATCTGCAAAGAATAGAAACAGCTATCCTAATTCTGGGCACCATAGACTCCAAATGAACCAAAACTGTTCTGAATTGTTTCTTTCCTATGTTTATGTCATTTAAAGGTGACATTTTCTTTTAAGATGTTCTCATGCCTCTCTTAATCTTTCATTGGCTATTTTAAGTCACAGACCCCTTTAGAATCCATTAAATGTACATATGGCTCTCTCCTTCTTTCTTACACATATACATACACACATGCACATACGCACTTTACATATATTTTCATGGAGTCTGTTACATTTCAGCAGTTTGTCACTAATCTATTATGCACAGTGAGACAAATCAAATCTGTTTGCTAAAGCAGAAACAGGGAGTGGGCATCATTTCATAAGAGGATCATGGGAGGCCTTTTTGGAGGAGGTGACATTTGAGCTGAATGTAACTGATGGAAATTACCTCACACATATTTGGCAAAAATATGTTCCAGGTGAAAGAAAAAGCATGTGCGAAAGTCCTGGGCCAGGAGTGAGACTGATGCTTCATGAACTGAGAGGAGGTGGCTGGAACTCAGTGAGCCAAAGGAAAGTGTGGTCCAAGAGGGGAGCAGAAACTAGGTCCCATCCACGGTCTGCAGACCTTAGTGCAGTTTGGGTGTCATTCTAATTGTAACCAGAAGCCACTGAAAGATTTAAGGCAGATAGTGGTATGGATGTGATTTACACTTAAAGAGCACTGACAAGCATGAGGAAAGTCAGGGAGAGGATCACTTATGAACTTTGTGGAATGCTAATACGATGATGGCATGCACTAAAGTGTAAACAGTAGTAAATACGGAAAAAAGTGAAAAAATTCAAGATTGAGGGCACATTTTGAGATGAAACTGACAGAACTTAATGATGTGGCATAAGGAAGAAAAACAGCAATCAGGTATGACTTATGGTTTCTGCCTTGAGCAACTGTGCAGTCAGTAGTATCACTTATTTCTATGAAGATCACCAAGGCAGGAACAGGTTGAAGGGGATGATGGTCCACAGATCTGCTCTGAAAATATCAAATCTGAAATCCCTTTCATCCTCCAAATGGAGATATCAGGTAGGTTATAGGTACTACTTCCTTCCCCATCACCTGCCACCAATGCCCACATAACAGATCCATGTTTCTAGCAACAAAATCGGATCCCCAGGCATAGCTGCTTCCCACACATCCCCAGCCACTGAAATCACAAAGCAAATTATTTTCCTATGTGCTTAAACTTCACACTGCAGTTTTCTCAGACCAGACAGTTCCATAGTCATAACTCGAAATAATTAAAAGATTGATTCAAAGGAGGCTATATAAACCCTGCTCAAAGACATTCAGTCCTTAAATTGATTTCTTCTGAATAAGAAACAGGATGAGATGAAAATCTGGTATTGTATAAGCCAGGGCTGTCATATTATAACATGGATATAATTTCACCATAACTATTACAGCTTGAATTGTGTCCCCCAAAAAGTTTTACCTCCAGTACGCGTGAATGTGATCTTATTTGAAAATAGGGTTTTTGCAGATAATCATGTTAAGATGAGATCACTAGGGTGAGCCCTAATACAATGACAGGTGACTTATAAAAGGAGTGATTTGGACATAAGAGACAAACATGCCCACCATGTAAACATGAAAGCTAAGACCAGAGTGATGTATCCACAAGCCAAGGAATGCCAAGGACTGCCAGAAGCTGAAGTTTCTCCACCAGAATGCAGGAAAGAAGGGTGGGACAGAGTCTCCCGCACAGCCCTCTGAAGAACCAACCCTGCTGACACCTTGCTCTTGGACTTCTGGCCTCCAGAAGGGAGAGACAATACATTTCTGTTGTTCTAAGCCATCCAGTTTTGGTGCTTTGTTATGGCAGCCCTAGGAAACTAACACAATTACTATAAGAACTAGACTTTTATAGTTTAGAAAGTCTAGATTCAAAACTAACTGGAAGAAAAAGAAAAGACATATTTGAATTATATAATAGATATTAATTTCCCCCCAAATACAGCAAAGCTGCCTATTAAACTTTGTAACTTTGATCAAGTCATCCTCTTAAAGCTTTGATTTCTTTCTTATAAATTAAGATATTTATAAGGGTCAAAATGAGATAATATAGAAGTAAGTTACCTTGCAGTATAAGACAGCTACACAAATGTAAAAAAATTATCATCAATATGAATACATGACTATTACTAGTAAAAAGCATAGTTGCTACATAGGTATGTATTAATTATATATGGTATATACAATATATAATCTATCAAGCCATAACTACTTACCTACAGAATATGTGCTCACATCTTCCTAAACACACAGGCTCTTTCAGAATATTAGTGCTGTTTAAAGAAAGGAAAACAATCAAGACTTAGTCACTTATAGATAAACGTTTTATACCCAACATTCCATAAATCCAAGGCCCAACACTATTATATTTCTTTCTTTTCTCAAAGTAGATGTTAAGGATGTGATCATCCTGGTTAAATATTTTATCATAACACATTTGTGCACTTTGGGGGAAAGGGGTTCCCTCAGCCCGGCCTGCACCCTCTTGCAGTCTGGGACCCCTCGGGGGATGTCCGACTGCCAGCTTAGGCCCGCTCCCCAGCTCAATGCTCTTTAGCACAGCCTCGAGGGCAGCTCCTGCATTCAGCATCTGCCTCCTGGTGGCCAGTTCATGTCACAGCAACTGGTCACTCCCCTGTTTGGTCAATTTGCATATTAGGGTTTTATTATATAGGATACCTGCTGAATTCAAATAACAACTACCAAATTCGGTACAAATTGTAACATTTTTTATAACATATACTGGGTAGTCATAGAAAGGAGTAATTTTGTTTGGGCATCTCTAAACACTCTTAGATACTCAGGCATACAAATCTATAATGCCAGATAGGCCCCACAGTCCACTGCTTCCTCACCAGCTCTCAGGCTATAAGTAACCATCATAAAAAAGACAGAATGACATACAAATATATCTCTATAAATTTATGTGGTAGCTTCTTTATCTCTACGCTGCTATCAAAGTGATGTATTAGATGTTGTGAGTAAACAAACAATCCCTATGCTCCTCAATCCCATTAACCTTACTGCAGCCAAATGCTGTGAGCTTTTCACCACCCGAGACTCATTCCTACCTCTTCACCCATAAGCTTACCTTCCCCTTCCACACACAGATGAAAAGATCTCCCTAAGTCATTTTCTTTCTTAACATGTGCTACCATATTAGTCCCTAAATCCCGCATTTTCTCTGGCTCCTAAAGTATTCTATTCTCATCATCATCACCTTCTTCCATCGCATATAAACATGCACAGATAATCTCTCCTTCAACCTAAAAGAAAAAATGCTTTCTTTAGATCATGCCTCCTACTCTACTTTTTGAGCAGCTCTCCCCTTCCTAAGTTCTTTAACGTGTTCTATCCAGCTAAATCCATCTTCTTACCTTGCTAGCTCTAACTCCCCACTGCTGAAACTACTCTCCAAAGCATTGTTGGTCCTCATTCTCCATGACCTCTCTGTGAAATAACGTCACCCTCTTTCCTGAAACCTTTCCTCCCATTGAGCTTTAATTTTTTTTTATTTATCTGCCTATTTCAGCACTTCTTAAGCTGCTGCTTCTCCTATCTATCAATGTAGGCCAACCCCCAGGATGCAGTCCACAGCATTCTAGCTTTCTCTGAGAATATTTGACTCGATGCCTTAATTTTTGTGTTTCTAACCTTAAATTTCCTTTCTAAGATGACTGTGAACCCTTTACCTATATATTACTGTCATAATTAGCTAGTTTATTAATATTAATAATAGAGAACAAAGGGGAGACCAGACACTATAAACATGGTCACCTGGGCAGCTTCACCAGGAAGCTACAACTTCACGCTCCCCAGGAAATCACCCGTCCATTCCCTGCAGATCACTGGGGGAAGGAATGGCACCAAGAGGGAGATCCATACATGCACAGTGAAGTCAGTGTGACAAAGGAGAGGTGCTTGTGTGTCAATCCAGCCTGAGAAAAAGATCATTGTCTAGATGGGTGAAGCCACACTGCAAGAGAGCAAAATCTTGGAAGGTTAAAAATCCCCAAAGAGTTTCCTCTCCCTAGCCTTCTGCTTCTCCCTTACCTTCACTTGCTCCTTACTTGACCCCCACTCGCTGGCCATGTGGCCTTAAACAGCCACATGACCCAGGGACATGTGGACCCTGTATGCAAAGGGGTGTGGCTGGGAACACAAGCTAAGCTGCCCAGATGCTGG